GACATACCGAAAAGACTAAAAGGCTAAAATTGGAAAATTGTGTTGAAAATAAAAAAACAATTGGGCTAAATTGGCTCATCCAATTTACTCCTAAAACCATATCACTCCCTCCCAGTTTCAAGGCTCTCAGATTGAACTGAAATTCCCAATCATGCACTCTCCATACTAAAGGCTGACAAACAGCTTTGCTTTCTATTTTGTCCCCATCCACCCTGATTGTCATCACGTTCGCCTCATCAGTGGCATAGTTCAGTTCCTTGATTAACCTTTCATCCACAAAACAGTGGGCACTTTCACTATCAATGAGGATTGATATTTTCCTCCCCTTGATCGTCTTTGAAATTCCAATATTTTTATGTTTCAAGCTCTCAGTTAAAGCACTGATTGAAATATCAATAACTTCTTTACCTCCTTGTCCTTTTTGATGTTCAGACTCCTGTAATTTATCCACTTAAGGCACATTCGCCTCACCTTCCTGATGTTCTTTCATTGTTCCTAGTTGCACTATCTTGGTATCTGATTCAATTACTTCATTCCCCGTCATTTCTGAAAACCTCCTGCAAAGTTCCTCGGAGAATAAATTTCAATCTGCCTTAGGATGGTTTGCAATGAATCCATAAAACCATACATAAGCCCTCCCTTCCAAATACATCTTTTCAATTCCCAGCCTAAGTTCATCAGAAACTTGGTGTATCTGGAAGTATTCCCTAACCTTCCTAAGCCATTCACTGGGTCCTTCGCCCCCAAATGGAGGGAAATCAATTTTTGTTAACTTGGTATCCCCCCAATTATCACCCCTAACATTGTTACCCAACTCCTGGATACTAGATCCTTGAAATGACAATACACTACTGGAGCTTTGCTTAGACATAAATCCTTCTATCCCTTCGTTTTTATGTTCTATTCTAAGATCGGCAGATATTTGTGTCAACATATCTACCATTTCCTCACACTTTTTATTAATATCTAATAAGGTATTCTCCATTTTTACTTGCATGTGACTAAATACCTGGAGGGTTTGATATGTTTATTCCAGTTTGGTCTCCAATCTGCTAGTAACTGTACCCAAATCAGCTATTTTCAAATCCAGCTTCTTCATATGAACATCCACTGCCTTAGACCTTGTATCTATATTTATCAGTTGCCCAATATAATACGTTTGCTCTGATACCATTTGTCACGAATTGGACCACAATTCGTAACCACCGATTCACACAGCTAGATCGAGGAATTATCCTGGCTGAAATCAGCTGGAATTGTAACCAAAGAAAAGGAAGAAAAATAGAATTGGGGAGGGATAAATGATATAACAAGAAGAATGAGATGAGAAAAGTTGTTGATTCAATCAACACACACAAGTAGAGAAGAACAGAGACAGAAAAAGGAGAAGAAGAGAAGAAGAAGAATCGAAGAAGATGAAGAAATAGGAACCAGGGAAGAAGACAGGAGAAGGAGAAAAAGAACGAACTGGAGGAGGAGGGGAGAACACGGGAGAAGCCAAAGCTCCAATTCAATTCATCAATTCAACATTCTTCCAAAGTTTACAATACAACCCTATATTGAACGATACAACTAAAGGGCTTGGGCTATCCCACTAATAACAAAAGCCTAAATACGTAAAATAAAAGTAAATGGCCTAGCTATGACATCCCTTTCCCTTAAATTAACCTTGTCCTCAAGGTTCAAAGTCGGGATTGTCTTCTTGTACGTTGTTAGCAGCTGTCTCATTCTCTTCACCATCCTTGGATTAAGCAAGTAGTGCAAGAAAACAAGTGCCTCATTAGCGACAATCTTCTTGATCAACCCAGTAATGATATACAATTCTGGTTGTGTACTCCAAAACAAGACTGAATCAAAAGAAATGAAAATGGAGACTGATGAAGCTGACTTCTCTGCATTCAAAAGCATATTGCTAAACTTTTCATTAACGATATAAGGTTTATCCTTACACACAGCAAACATTCTTTCCACCTCCTCATTATGGTGTTTAAATCTAATAAACCCTTGTTCAAAATAAAAAAAAACAATTGGGTAAATGACTCATCCAATTTACTCCTAAACCCATATCACTCCTCTCCCCCAGTTTCAAGGCTCTTAGATTCGACTGAAATTC